TATCGGAAATTGGTATCGGCAAGTACCTGAGGGAAAGTACTTGTACTTGGTCTTAAAAAAATGGTATCAGACATCCCTACTGTAAAGTACTGAGTAATGTATCAAATATACATAATAAAGATAGGTAGAAATACTTTTTTTATAGCAATAATGATAACTGTGAATCTAGTGGTTAAACAAGAAACTGTAGTAGGAGCAAGAAGCTGTGTACTTCCAAAAGGAAGCTGACGATGTAAATGTTATTTGTAGTATTCCATGCCACTACTATGTACATTAAACACTGAAAGAAACAGCAGAATAAACAATTGAGTGTTGTGTTCATGCACAACACTCGGCTGCCTTTTTTTAATAAAACAATATTGAATTTTGCTTTTTGGTGTAGCTGTACCAGATGAAACGTATGAAAACGGTGCAATTGAGGTAATAGGCTTATATAATGGGCACTACCTGTTGCGGTTTCATGTTCCCTGTTAAAAGTTGATTGCTTAAAGATATTTTAAATGTTTCGCACATGCTGTGTCATTAGTCAGCAGCAACATGCAACGTTAGCTAACATATAGTTGAGCTTTGCAGGTATTCAAAGGAAAGAAGAGCTTTAGGGATAGTTTACCTAATAATCAGTCCAGGGTTGCTTTAAACACTAACATTAAATACCTACACACTGAATGCTGACGGTTTAAATCCCCCACCATTTTATACCTCAGACCACATTTACAACAAATGAGCATGTTACAGTACACATTTTACCCATGTGCATTTTAGAAATATTTTGAACATATATTAGACAAGTGGTAAAAGATCACATTCACAATAAATGGTCACATTACAGCATGTGCACATTAGACACATTTTGCACACATGGTATACAAGTGGTAAGAAACCCTATTCTAAAGCTTGACTTAAAAATAAGAGTCAATGAACAAATGATGCATCAGGGGGACACAAAGCTGCCAATAAAGAGGAGCTGTCGTTATGGTCTCCTAGGCATACTAATGGTGGGGGAATTACCAAAAGGAAATATGTCAGTTTTGTTGGGGTGTAATTATTGGTACATTTTCTATGTGCCAAATTAACAAAATTATAAGGCAAATTCTATGAACTGTTGCACCAGCTGCGTCAAATCAAGTTAAAAGTGCTATGCAACAGTTTTGATAAATGTCCAATCATGTGCGTCAACATAATGAAGCATTTGTTCTAATTTAAAAATGGTAGTAGTGTAAATACTGTAAGGAGGAGGAGGGATAGTGACGATCAGCACTGCATGATGGACAAGAGAGGGGGATGTGTATGAGCGGTCAGAAAGGTGCAGCAATGAAGGAATGAGATGAGGAGAAAAAATACGATAATCCCAGTGGAATGTGCACTCACATGTGGCGCACCACCACCTCCATATGACAAAAATAATGAATTGGCATGCACCACTTTAGTTAATTTGTTGCAAGAAGCACTAATTAAGCAGGCACATAGAAACTGGTGCATTATTCGGTGTGTGCACCAGTCTTTGTTTACCCCCACCAACACAAATATTTTAAAAATGACTTACTAGCCCTGAGAGTGCATAAACTCTGTAACTAGTGCATTTTACTCACCTAACCCCCAATCTCCATATGCATAGTATATGTAAACCTGCAACCTTATTTCTCACCCAGGTTTGTGCATAGAAATAGGACTCACGCAAGCCTACATTCACTTTACACTGGCTGTAGATCCAGTGCCTTTTTATTTTGACACCGATTCAGTTAATTGACATTTTCAAACAATAATTAACAGAGCTGTGAGAAATTCCACCTGGGCAGATAGGCAGGTGTTACCACTAACCTAGTGAGAGATAAGTAGTAAACTTCCAGATTTCCTCAATAGTCTTGAAGGTGATAATGAAAACATCATTCTTGGCCTGGATGGACACTAGCCGGGCGGACAGCTCCTAAAATAAATAAAAAGAAAAATGATAGCCCTGCTAGGAACCATGCTACAAAGCTTTATTCCGCTGTGGACACCAGATGGCAGTCAGGCACACTTGTACACTGTTAATGCTAATACTGTATTATCGCAATCTAACAATAGCTGTTGCTTTGTAATATCCATCCTCCAGATATACTTTTTCCTGAACATCAATTTTAGGGAGGTTTACTGTCATCAAAGGGTGCCCATGGTCATCAAGATCACCCAATCAAACCAAATTTTGTATGGGTCGATTAAGCAATTCATGTTATGGGAAAGCAGCACACCCCGAGTGCATTCATGGGAAAAAGAACTACACTAGCTGATAGCAAATCCCCACAGTCATGAAACCCCTCTGTTTATTTCTCCAGGTCTCTCTGCAACTTAACACCTCCAGCAGAACGTAATACTAAACCTGACACATATATTAACAGCTTCACAATGAGAATTACAACCCTGATATCCAACCAGCAAACAAAAATGTGTATAATCTATCAACACTGGAAGAAAAGTCTATGCAGAAGCTGCAAAATAATCATGCCATCTTCATAAAACCAGCAGATAAAGGGGGCATGGTAGGTAGTTGTGATGGACACAAACAAATATTTACCAGTGGGGAAGAAGCAACTTGCAGATGATATTCAATATAAAAACTGGATTATGATCTGACCCATAATTTTACTCAACAACCTAAAAGGTCTTATTAAATTATTACCAACCTACTTACTTTTAGACCTTAACAGTGCAAATCTAGATCATCCAGAAAGTGAGAACCTCTATATGTTGTCCAAGATCCACAAGTCAGGAAATCCAGGCTGACCCATAACAGGTATAAATTCACTCAATAAGCAAATCTCAGGCCTTGTTGAAATTGTGCTGATTTGTGCTGAAACTGATTTCCTGAACAAGTTCCACAATATACTGCAATTACCACCAAATACACTTTTAGTGATTATGAATGTAGACCCCTTGTATAGCAACATACCTCAGAAGGATGAGATTGCTGCATGTTACAGATTCATCCTCAGCAACATCAAATACAATGCTGAGAATGTTACAGAGCTCAATAAATTCATTCTAAACACACAACTATTTCACTTTTGCTCACTATCTTATGAGTGTATGTTCTGCTATGGCACCACAATATGCCAACTTATTTATAGAAGACCTGGTGGACAAATTCCAGGTTTTGGTACACATTCTGAGAAATCACATGCAAGACATCTCATCAATGCTGCCAGCAACATAGTCCCGAGACTGGAGATCTGAGCACATTCCAATGACTAAAGAGTGGGTTGACCATGTGGATTATATCCACCAGATGGAATTCATTTTACATTTCAAGCATTATAAAGTAAGTCTATTTAACACACTGTGGTATGAAAGAATAGTATTCAAGAAAATTAAAAGTCTTCGATAGAAGGTAATCCCCTAGGTTTATTATTCTGCAAGCAGCTAACTTGTGGTGATTTTCAACCATCTGATGTAGAAACCCATATGTTTATCTTCTTTTTTCCTCTCCATCCAGAGGTTCATCCTCTTGATAGGGTGGGAGCAGCTCATGGTCCCTGTCAGTTTGCCTTGCTCACCTTCTAATCAGGTTTGTTTATTGTAGGTCAAGCTAGCAGGAGTGGCTTTAAAGCAAAGCATGGGCCAACAACCAATTTGAACACACAATCACAATTCACTCACAGATTTCATTAGTAAGATAATAACTGTTAGGGATTAAAAGAAAAATTTAAAAAATGGTTATTGTTCAAATAATAAAGGTGACCCCATTCTCTTTACATTTCTGGTCCAACTGCAAACCTATGTGGCATTTGATGGACTTTTCCGGAGTTGATTTGTTGCATTTTCGAAATATTTCCAAATCCTTTTTATTGTTGTATGCAATTTTTCTTTTGTATGACTTTACAAAATAAAGTATGTTATAAAATGCAATACTTTCTCAGACAACTTTTTTAGACATTTTATTTAAAGGGAAAAAAAAGTAAGCCTGGGCAAGCCATTTCTCAAACTGACTGGAAATGGAGGGCCTATCTTCAATATTACCATCTGATGAAGTCATTGTAATAAGAAAAGTAGCATCATCTGCATCCCTAAAGTACTGCAAGCATATTACCTAGTATCGCTCCACAAATGTAAACCCCAATGCAAGGGTTGGCTAAAAATCTGACTTCTTGGAAAAGCAGTCAAAAGGAAACTACATTTCTAGGGTTGTTCTGTACACAAACATTTAAACTAGGGTTGCAACTAATTATTATTTTCCTAATTGATTAGTTGGCCGATTATTTTTTCGATAAACTGAGGTGCCATTGAAGTGATTGGCACCCCAATGCACCTTCCGCACAAGAATTTGTCAGGCTAAAACTGAAGATGACTTTTTTTCCTACCTTTTTTAGTTGTTGTTTTTTTAATAATTGGGGGAGGGTGCTTTATTTATTTTTTTACTTTTTTTTACTACTAATTTTTTTTTATTCTTGGGAGCCTTCAATCTTTTTTTCTGCAGCCCCCAAAGAACAGGAGGCATGCAGTACAGAGGCTTCCTGTTCATTCATAAATCAAGGGGATAGTAAACAGATACTATGTTCACAAGCATGAAAAATCAGGAAGTGATGTAAAGCACTTCTTGTTCATTCATAATTTGGGACACACCATTTAAATACTATGTCCTCAGTTTTTTACAAACATTGTAGTGATCAGTGCTGATCACAGAAATGTTTGAATATTACAGGGAATGATCAGCACATATTTCAAATATTTGAAATATGCGGGCTCCTAGCAGGGAGGAGAAAGCTGCAGACCCAATGTGGCAGCAGGAGGTTTTGGGGAACTCTCCTCACCGCTGGACACTAGCTGCAGGGGTCTGTGTCCCCTCCGATCCCAGCTGATCCCAGCGGGGGTCGGAGGGGACACAGAGCCCATGAAACACCAGCTCCCAGCGTGGAGGAGAGAACTAGGGGAACCACACCAACTAATTGATAATGAGAATTATTGACAACGATTCTCATCGATTAGTTGGTTGCAGCCCTCATTTACACATTAAAGAAATATATCATTTTCTAGAGCCCAGAGTGTCTTCCTAGCTGCCTCCTGCAGAGAGACATTAGGGCCCAGGGTGGAGCGTCGCAGGATGGAGAATGACAGGGAGATTTCTGTAGAAAACAGGAAGGGCAGAAATAGGAGAGGAAACCGGCAGTATTTACTTGGTAGCTTTACTGATTGTGACAGACAAAATACCTGGAGAGCTAATAATACCAGCAGAATAGCAAATGCACATACTACAATTTCTGTTTGTCAATGTACAGAGCTTGAGATCTAGTTTTTTATGCAGCAGGGTTTGTATTTCATAAATGTATAATATTTCTATGAATTTGGGGATAGTGCACAGCTGTGTAAAGTGCTTCCTACCATTGTCACCAGGAATTTAAAACCTGCATAATTGTTATAGGAAGTATTCTGTATTGTGCCTGTTTCCTGTAAACTGTCAGGCTTGAAGAGATTAAAACTTATTGTGTATACATCTATCTATGTGTTAGGACTGTGTGACTATAAAAGGTAAAGATCCCCAAAGACTAAAGTGTATCTAAACCCAAATAACAAAACTTTTACCTACAACAGCTTATCAGTCCTACGACGTGGTGGCTTCATTAGTTTTTTTGTCTTCAAGATTTTTTACACCTGATGATCCTGCCAGTAACACATTTTCTGTGTGTGAGTAAAAACACTCACTCACTTTACTGCATATCTGAAGAAGCAGTGTTGTCACCCAAGCACAGGAAGTGTGTTGAGACTACAGAACACATTACCCCTTTCCTCTGCTCCATAACATTGGGGGATTAGTTTTGTAGTCCACAGAGACAGCTAAGAACATGTAACTAATAACAGTGCAGCAGAGGCAATAAGTACCGGATGTTATAAGCTGACAAGAATATTGGCAGAATCAACAGTATTTTTTTTTCTTTTTTTGCATTTATCAAACAGATGTAACAAAAGCTCTCAATGGCTTGTTTTAACAAAGAAAAAAGGACCAAAGAAAAAAAAAGTCTTATGGTTAAAGTATAACAATGTCAAAGTATAACACAAGCAAATGTTTAGCAACTATGACCTGAGGAAACAATCTCACTAACCACTTTAGAAGCTTAATAACAATTCATGGAATCATATTAGGTACGTGATGCATGGATACATACAGTTCATGCAGTCAATCAATTTGGTAAGAACGCTTTTTTTTCAGCAGAGGAGACAGAGAACTCAACACATTTTACAGACAAGTATAGTCAACAGCATCATTAGAAGAGTTTCAGGTTGATGTAGGTAGGTACCTACCTACAACAAACCAGTTAACTGTAAAATATGTAATATACAGCAGGTCAGACCTCACAATAGAAGCAAAGATTTTCAGGCCTGGCGAACATAGAGACACAGGGAGAGAGTACAGCCCTGCTATCCTCAATTGGGAAGGACAAAGTAATGTGTAACCTGATAGCCTTAGACATCCAGCTACAAACAATGATATGATGCCCACCATGGGGGCCACAGAGCTCACTGGCACAAACCTCATCTACTGGTGTGAGGGACAATTTAATATCCAATTCACTGATGGTTTGATGAGTCCGATTACATGCAATGTCATAATGTCCACCAAGGGGCCTCAACGCTCGCCAGTAACAGCCACACCGAATTGAATATGAACAGTCAGATATGCAATGGGTCCAGTATGCCAGGTCCACGAGCAGTCCGGATTAACATTCTTTAACTGATTAATATTGTCTACGTTGGAGCAAAAAGTCCAACAATACTGTGTGTGGTTTTTATTTACTGTATATATTTACTAGAAACAAAAGATATAACAAGTATTAGCCAATCTGGCCTGAATTGGCTGTATCAAGCAACAAGCCTCTTCTACATGTATGCCTCAAAGCTGACCTTATATCACATTTGCAGTACCAGCAGTGAGAGAATCCTGGGGTGAAGAGTAGGGCGGTCCCTCTAATAGCACCTCACGTGGGGGGGCAGCGGCAGCCAGAGCAAATTGTTTCTAATAATTCAGTGCTACACAATGTATATGCTGCCTGCCGCCTGAGGCTCCACTGATTAATAGAGAGTAGCGGGCAGCTCATGTCCCAGTCAGATGGACACTTGTGTCAAAAGAAGCTCTGAACAGCTAAATCAGCTGGGTTTATTCAGACAGTACACAGGTGGCCGGCCACCCAGGGCATGAGCCACCCACTACTGTGAATTTAATAAATGAGGTGGAGGGCGGCAGGCAGCATATACTGTACATTGTTCAGCACTGACTAAATAAGAAAAAAAAGACTGCCTGGCATCCTAGCAACCAATAAATGCTGTGTACTCTGCCCACCCTTACCAGCATTCATACCTAGAAAGGACCTAGGACCTTCTGCTCCCACACTGTTCCTACTCCTTCAGTGAGCTAAGTGAGATGCCTCCTCCAGTTCTCCCAGATTTGGAACAGAAGTAAAGGGGAGCGGTGTACTTTCATGTAATGGCGGCATTTTCATGTAAGGGGGTACTCTGCTGTAAGGGGGGCTGTGGACTTTCATGTAAGGGGGACTTTGATGTAAGGTGAACTCTGGATTTTCATGTAAGGGGGTACTCTGATGTAAAGGGGGCTGTGGACTTTCATGCAAGGGGGGACTCTTTATTTCCAAGTACAGGGGACTCTGATGTAAGGGGGAACTCTGGATTTTCATGTAAGGCGGGGCCCTGATGTAAAGTGTGACTCTGGGGAAGTTTCGCTCAACCTAAGTCATTTTGCATGTCTAGTGTTAGCTGGAGGGGGTGCCATTTCACACTTCACCTGAGGCAGCAAAATGGCTAGGAACAACCCTTGGGAAGAGACCATGCAGTGAAGGATAATAGATAAATCAAAGCCATCATTGAAAGCCCTGTACTGACTAACCAGTAAGCATGTGTAGCCACCCTGCCTTAGACAGGAATGTCTATATTTAAATTTAGAAGTTGCCAGACTGTTGTCAGTCTGATTCTGATGGATAGTTCAGCTTTCTTTGTTCAAGTTTCTCCTAAATTCTGCTGACTGTTTACTTTTGCCTGCTGCTGAGACGTGTCCCTGGCAATAGTGTGGGAAGCTACACTAATCAGAGTTAGGAATGTTTGTACCTCCTAAACCAACCACTAGGAAGTTTACTGGCAGTGGCGCAGGCTGGGAGAGTGTATAAATATTCTGGAGCTTCTGCCTGAGGGTGGAATGCTGAATGCTTCTCCCAGGAGGGTGACCATGTGCTTGGACTAAAGCCTGGGATGTAGGCATAGTGATTGAAGCCTGGGGATGGAGATGCCATGGAGGAACTTCAGCCTGAATAAGATGCCTGTTCCTTTACTGGTAATTTCTCCCCATTGAACTGGTAACTGCAACATCTAGTATTTTACAGCCAGGAGCTAAATTCACAGACTGCCAGGTTGGCTTTAAGGCTCTTTTTCTGTGAAGGCTGTAAGTACTTTGCTCTCTATTTTGGAGTCTGCAAGATCATGGGTGTTCTGTGCTCTAACACTCTCGCCCAAATGTGTTCAATAAAGTTTCTGCAAGCCAAAGATCATCAGCGTGGAAGTCAGTTTATTGGTCACCACTGGTGAGTCAGTAATTACTTTGGGGCAGCTATGGACTGTGTACCTTAGACAGGCTAGAAAGGTTCAATTCAACCAGCAGCTCCTTAGGGGGGTGAGCACTACACATGAAAGGCAAACAACTTTTGCTGCTTACCTGGAACAAAGCTACATCTATACCAAGCTGTCAAAATATGATAGCTAAATTTATATACATGAGTGGATTCAAGCAATAAGTGTTTCAAAACAAATGATTCACACTAAGCAACAGAAAAAAATTGCTGTTTAAAAAATATACATGGCTGTTGGTATGATCTTTCAATGAAAATTTGCTACATTTTTCAATCAGAACGGAAAAAGTGCTGGACAGAGCCTCGCAAGTAATCATATTATCTGTATGGCTGTGGCAGAAAGGTCAATCACCACCCTGCTTCTTACAAGCTTTGCCTGTACAGATAGGCAAACCAATTTAGAGTTAGAGTTAATACGCCACAGTTGATCTATGGAAAACCAATTCCACTTCTGCTCCATACAAAGCTTACACTAAACTTAATTTTGTATTTCAAGGAATATTTCTAGACATTGGCCTGGTAAATAAGCATTAGTCAGTCATTTTATTTTAGGCATATGTAAACCCAAAAACAAGAATATATTTATTACAGATCACAATCCTTAAATGTGGTGGTTGCATTAGTTTTCTTCTTGTAGGCTTTTTAGGTTTGTTTTCACCTGATGATTCGGCCAGTAACACACGTTATCAAATGGTGGCTCCACTCTATGGAGGAGCAACGGAGCCATCCTTTAACAGCAGCATTGTCATCCTATTGAGAGGGTAGTGTTAGATGCACTAGCAGATTTAGATGGACTTTACTAACAAAATAAAGGATGAACCCCAAGATAACACTTTTTAAGTAGTTAAAGCAAAAGTTTTTTTTTTTTCATTTGGCATAAAGTTTTTACATAAATTTAAATAATCTAACCATTGTAAGTTCACATTGTTAGCGTTAACTAGTTTGTTTCAACCTTCTAGACTTCCTCTTTTTCTGGACAGCTTGGTCTGTCAAAGGAAGTTGAAAAATAACAGACTTACTGGCCGGATACCAGTTAAAAATAAAGGGAAAAAACAAATAAAAAAAGAAAATGAATTCAGCCAGACTAATACACTGCAATATATTACATTTTTGCTTTTGGGTTTAGATAGGGTTTAAAGTGTATTTCCACTTTTGCAGCCAAATTGGGATAGCACCTACATTATATACTGTATATATGTTACATAATTCTCATTCACATAGCATAACTTTAAAAAAAAGAAATGCTACTGCTTGCATAAAACATGCTCAATTCGCAAAGAAAAGTGTTTTTCCCTGTACTGAATTTTCCTCTACAACAAGGGGGGTGGTGAGGCTAATGTTGTGAGGTTAATAATGTGGTTGGCACCACTGTCAGAATACAAGGTACACAGCGGGAGATTTGTTCATCCATGCTGTTAGTGTGGATGGAGAAATCTGTCATATTTTTCCCCCTAAAGCTGGTGTGTACCCAGCTTTAGTCATTTTATTAGGACAAGAAACAGAGTAACAGAGTTTCCTTTTACAGAAATTGAGAGTGAAGGTGGCTAAGACCTGCAGAAAAGAAACATGTAAAAGGTAATTTAAAAAAAAAAAGTATTGTTTAAATTTGCTGTGTGAATAGGAACACTTTACAAACAGTTACAAGGGTTTTCTCAATTTGGCCTGAAAAAGTGCAAATACACTTTAAGTTACACTAGGCTTTAACCAGTTGACATCCGCGGTGTTAAACCCCCTTCCCATCCAGGCCATTTTTCAGTATTCAGCGCTGCGGTACTTTAACTGACATTTATTCCGTCATGCAGCGCTGTACTGAAATGAATTTTATACCCTTTTTTGGGGACAGATAGAGCTTTCTTTTGGTGGTATTTATTCACCACTGGGGGTTTTATTTTTTTACTATATTAAGGAAAAATTACCGAAATTTAAAAAAAAAAACAGTTTCCCCTATATTAAATGATAAAACATTTATTATTACCCAATTTTTTGGTAAAATATAAAAGATGGGGTCACGTCGGGTAAAAAGACACTAAACATGTCAAGCCTTAAAATTGCGTGCGCGCGCGAAACCTCAAAAAACGATAATACCCAAAATTGGCCCTAGGCGACGCTTTAAAAGCTGTTACCGCTCATCAGTTTAGTGTTATCAGTGATTGATGGCCCTAAAATGATTGCTCTCACTGCGACGTTCGCGGCGATATGTAACATGTGTAGCGCAATTGTAATTTTTGCGCGCTGGGGCACCGGACGCGTATTTACGTTTATAGGCGCGTAAACGTGGGGGTGGGGGAGTTAAACATTTTGGGGGGGTTTTTTCCCCTTTTTTTATATGTGGCTTTTATTTTATTTTATTTTTTTATGTGTTACTTTTCTTTTTTTTTATTTATATTTTTTTTTTGCACTTATTGTTATTGCTATTATATAGGGGGATAACAACCCCCTATATAATAGCAAAGGCACACTGACAGGTCCTCTTTATGGAGATATTAGGGGTCTCTAGGACCCCTAATATCACCTATGGACCCCAAAAGAAGCTGATAAAGCAGAGATCTGCTTTATCAGCTTCTTCTCTCTCCAGATGACTGACAGGTGAATGCGGAAGTGATGTAACACACATCACTTCTGCATTCACAGCCCGGACGGGGATCAGCAAGGAGCTGATCTCCCGTCCTCCTCCTCCTGACGCCCTCGGAGCCGGTCCCGGGATCCAAGATGGGGCAGCGGATCCCGGGAATCAAGGTGAGGGGTCGAGCACATATAGGCGATCGGCACATATAGGCGATCGGCGGGCTATGGACCCGCCGATTGCCTATATGTGAAACACCCGGTAACGGGTGTGTGCATTTAGCGGGTCTTTTCTGCCCGTGCGTGCCCGCTAGGGGGCGCGCGCGAGCAGAAAAAAATTGCCGTCTGGAGACGGCAACCCGCAGATGCTGCAGTGCCGTCCGTCCGTTTTTTTACTACGGGCGGACGGCAAGAGGTTAAGCTACGCTAAACCATATTTTATTGAGAATAAAAGAAATGCTATAAAGCAGACATGCACCTAAATAGGAAGATCCACTTTCTGCTCTTACCTTCTGCCTGCAGTGCCCAAGTGAGGATGAAGTCATCATCCTTCTGGCAAGATCCTGGGGAAAACGGAGTAGGCCAAAGCTCACTGAGATCCTGTATTGTGCTGCAGCATCTTCAAGTGAAATTTGGAGTACTGATCATTCCCCGGGAATCTGATAAGTTCACCCCCTGCACTACAGAAGCCTGGTAAGTACAGTATCTAACTTCCCCCTGCATATGTTTTTTTTGTTATGTTAAAAGCAGTGTTTCGGCAAAAGGATAGAGGGGACACACTTAAAAAGCGGATCTTGTGTGGACTGTACCATGAACATTAAATGGCCCCAGGTAAAGCTCACTATGCACAGGAATTTACATGGTAAAGGATCTGTCCATGAAAAGCTCTTTTATAGTACCAACACACATACACACCATATTATCCATATCACACGAGCAGACCAATACAGACAGGAAATTATCAGAAAATCTTCAATACAACTAAGGTAACTAGTCATGATTATTCTCAGTATACGTATTATGCAAAAAAAACTGTATTTAGCTGAATGTTTTATATAGGTTTATCTTCCATTATGAAAAACAATGAGCAGTTTTCCATACTTATGTACAAATGTTATTGTTTTAAATAAAGTATATTTAAAACGCGTTCCCACTGCAGCCCATCCCAGTTGTCTGCAGGTACAGGGAAGGTGGTTATTTCTCCCATTGTGTACCCTGTACACACTTGATCTAAATGGGCCACATGATGGCTGGCCAGGCCCAAACACTGCAGTATTCACAGAACAGTTGGCTCTTATTTTCTCTGGGCTCTCACAATTGTCCAACCTTTACCACAGAGTGGTCCAGCCGATGGAAGATTGTCGCAAGTACCAAGGGGTATATTTATAAATCAGTGAAAGTGGTGGTAAATCAACCACTCATTTAAAACATGCACCAAGAAGATTCATCTGCAGTGAATGTTTAGCAGCTGTCTGATTTATAAATACACCAGCAACAGCTAATATCCTGTTCCACACCTTAGCCTGTGGTCAATATTTCAGCTGCATTATGTGTTATTTAGTCTAAAATTAGAAGTATGAGTAACAAGTAGTATACAGTACATGTGATGAAAGAAGACCTGTTATTTTTTAAATACATTTGTTTACTATAACAGATATAATTTTCCAATAGTAGTCATACTTGGCCTGACATTGTTAAGACTCCAGTTTATGGTACCCATTTTTAGACATCTGCTTTACTAACCAGCCTTCCTTCTTCCTACTTTAATTAACACCTTAGAGGGGAAAAATCGGAGTAGCTGGCTTTGCTTGGTGATATTACGAATACTACAACAAACATAAATGTATCTTAAAGTGACACAAAACTCAGGAGTTAAATCTTAAAAATGCAATCATGTACCTAACTATTAACATAAATGTAGCTCATTTGTGTATCACTCAGCTGTAGAACCTTCAAATCATCTCTGAATTTATACTGACACTGTCCTTCCTTCTGGAGGGTGGCTACTTTTGTTCCCCATGGTCCCTGTGTGTGTTGTAAAGTAGCCACCGCTCCAAGATCACTGCTGTGATGGACTACAGTCTCAACACAAATTAGTAAACTAAACGTGAGATTGTAGCCCATCGAGGTAGTGAGCTTGGAGTGGTGGATACTTTAGAACAGTAGCCACCCTCTAGAAGTAAGGACAGTGTCAGCATGAATTCAAGGGTAATTTTTGGATCTACAGCTGAGTGGTGCACAAATAAGGTACAGTACTTTTAATAGTTAAGACATTTTTAAGATTTAACTCTTGAGTTTAGTGTCACTTTATATTGATACTGTATACTATTCTCTCACGCATGAGACAAGCCAACTTTAAAAGATCGGCCTGAGATGAGCTCTTTTTTGGAAATAAAAAATAGTAGCACATTTCAAAAACTGTGTTAAACCTATTAACAACATATTTAAAAATTGACAGGCCATCTTTAAATACAGTGTAATGAATGGTAAATCATTATTACACATGATTTTCTGGTAGGTTTAAACATAATTTGTTGTTATAATGTGAAAATAGACTCTTTGTTCTCTTACCTGCATGTTACATGTAAACTCAATAAAACTTATTAGAGCATAGTATTTACTGCCATCTACCCATAATTTACATTTAATATTCTATCCAAACACATTAAATATACCATAATTAGTTTACTTTACTTCTCAAATATTATATCCACCCAACTTTGATATCTTACTTTGCTTGAATGTCAGTGGGTTTATTCTCTTACCAGTTTCCCATAACACTGAGTCATCTTAACAAAGAGCTCTCCCCAGAAGCTATGTGGTCACGCAGCTCCGGACAGCATTCCCATGCATGACAACATTTCTGGCTATCAAAAAGAAATCCTGAATCAGGATCCCCCAGTGAATTTTTTTGTTGTTTCTACCAAGGCTCCCCCCAATGTTATAAGAAGCTGGTGTCCTCTCAAACCTGAGATACCAGTTTTAGATGAACTTTTTTCAACAAGCTAAATAGAATACTATATGAATATAAAGCTTTTAATGACCAAGATCTTTTGACGAATTTGTCTTGTTTAATGCCCGTATTACCAGTGATAAATCCTTCTCTCACTCCCAGGGAGATACTGTCCTTCCCCAGTGGGGTCTCCTCAGCCACAGAGCCAAGCTCTGAATCCTCAGGGTCATCTATGGAGACACAAAGCATGGAGACTCCTCATGCAACTGCAAATAAATATTATACAGCTATTTTGTAAAAAAAAAAGAAAACTAGACACTCTGTATATTCTTTCAATTTATGCTAGAACACTAATCACCATTAGAAAATTAGGTACTATGGTTATATTTTTTTTCAAAAAAATATTTCCTATGATTTATTAAATATAATACTTAGGAAGTATGACACCAGGGAATGGATATCAAATATTCTGGGCAACAGGGAAAAGGTACCAAGCATCCTACTAGGTACAAGGGAATGGATGCGAAACATATGAAAACTAAAATAAATATGTACTGTTTATAGACTACAGCAGACCACATTCATATGATTATAACACTAGTTATATCGAACCATACTGTAGGTACCAGGCAATAGGCATTACACACATCAGTGGGTACCAAACATAGTACAGTGTACTAAGGAATAGGTACATACTTAACATATCACTGAGCACTAGGGAATAGGTCTCCCACATACGGGCGGCTGTGCGGCAGGCATGGAGAGGCTGTCACTGGTCCCGCAGAATGTGCTGCAGGCACCACCGGGCAGCACATTCTGCTGTGTGAGCACCCTCTTGTCTTAGCCCCGCCCTCTGCCCGCCGAGATGAGGAAGAGGGCCCTGCAGGAGAGGAAAGGTAAGTCTGGAGTGGGAAGGGGGGAGCGCGGAAGTGTGTGTGTGTGTGTGTGTGTGTGTGTGGGTGTGGGTGATGCTGCTGGTATGCTGTAGTGCTGACTTTTATTATAGTGTATTGCTGGTACTTGTAGCCCTGCATAGCTGGTGGTATTCTGCATTGCTGTATGATGATTATACAGCAATGCAGAATAGCTCCAACTATGCAGGACTACAAGTCCCAGCAATACATTATATTTTTAAGTAGGGATACACCAGTGCCAATACTGGGAATTTTCATGAGTACGCATACTCGTGAAAATGCTCCGATACTAAATGCAGATACCGGTGTTCTGTTGAGAACGCCGACGTAGTGGATTTTGCCGACCCCAGCGTGTGCGCACAAACCAATATTATCGAGGAAACCGGGATTTATTCACAAACTATTTCGCTTAAATCGTTAATTGTGACCGTTAATCATATGCCATCCATCATTTACTGCCATAGATGGTATATTATTACCGGTTACAATTAACCATTATAAACGAATACTTTGTAAATAAATTCCGGTTTCCTCGTTAATCCCGTCTGTACGTAAGCGCAGATACTGGGTCAGAATTCTCGACAGAACACTGGCACTAAAATTTTAAACAAGCAGCTGCCTGGGGTCCCGCTCTTGCTCTGGGGACCTCGGCAGCCTTCCTGTTAACCATGCGGTGCCATGGTGGTTGGGGAGGCCTTCATGGTTTCTTGCACAAGGTTCTAGTTATGCCTCTGCATACCACTATGTACTGGGGAATGGGTACCAAACATACGAACACTAAAATAGATATATGCGGTTTATGGACTACAACAGACAACATTCATATGATTATAACACTAGTTACTGTATAATAATGTACACATATTGTCTCAAGTAAAAAAACAAAAACCAAGCCGTGTCTCCTTAAAGGAGAACTATGGGGTTAAGTCTTTTCCCCACAGTTCTCCTTAGGGTAACGGGAGGACACAAACTAGCGTCCTCCCATCACCCTAGGCTCAGTATACCGTGAGCTGTAGCTCGCGGTATACTGAGACGCCGCAGCTGAAGCGGATCCCGACAATTGTGCCGGGATCCGTCCAGCTGCGTGACTGACAGCTGGCTCTGCCTATATAAAGGCAGAGCCAGCTGTACCCGCCCCCGTCCGTTCCGTCAGCGCTGGCGGAGCGGAGCGGGGAGGGGGGAATCCAGCCCCTCCCCCGTCCGTTCCGTCAGCACTGGCAGATCGGAGAATCCAGCCCCTCCCCTGTCACGGCAGAGAGCCGTGACAGGATCGAGAGGTGAGCGAACGCCGGTATGTGTTCGCTCACATCCCGATCTACTGAGCCGACCTGTGACCATCTCATTGTCACAGGTCGGCTAGAACTATGAGGTGAGTGAAAAGCACTCACCTTATAGTTCTCCTTTAAAGATTGTTTACACTACACAAACATAAAAAAATTAAATACCATGGTAATATATTACTCCATTAAAACCCATGAACTCACTTAGCACCCTGAAAAAATGGGAGAGCTCTCTTACTTTTAAAAAAATTGACAATACTGTCAACAACATATATGTGGTCAATACACATAGTTATAATGGATGTGTACAAGGAAATACTCAAATTAAAGAGTGGAAAATAAATGTCTATGCGGGACTACATGATCTGCCAAAAAAACTAGCTGTAACATTTGCAGTGAACCACATCCCAACAGCTATATCTAAAGTATAGATGTAGCTTTAGGCACATCCACGGGATATGTGGAAGTCATATGTCTGCCCCAATGATGTCACTCCACAAGGCCTGAACATAAAATGGTGATGTGCAAGTAAGCTTCAGATCACCACTACAGATTAAATTAATCAAATCGACGATATAGTGGACGAAAGGGTTTAGCTTTGAATAGCATGTGGACATTGTGATATCTGTATTATCCTGGTGAAGTGACATGATTTGGGCAGTCATCTAAATGATGTAACAGCCTCATATCCCATGGATGTGCTTCATTTTGAAAGCTGCAGCTATACTTTGGATAGGGATGTGGTTCACTATAAATGTTACAGCTATAGTGTTTCATGTATAGTGAAGGTTTCCCCATATCTTCTGGGTGGCCTACCTTTGAGGGCTACAAGTGCCTGGGACATGTCATTTGGCTTGATGGTGGAGAATATGAATACTGTTTTTATGAGATAAATGAAACATCAATTATGCATGGACACTGCACCTGTTTGTTATTTAAGATTCCTTCCTGTATGCATTTTTTTGAGATTGGTTAAGCATCCATGGACTATATACTCAGCGTGCCATGTAGACCTACACAGACCATCATTTTTGACTCTACAAGAAGATTATTTTGAATATTGTTTATAACTTGCATCCATAGACTTGCAGCAAGGCCCTGGAGCATTTGCTCTCCTAGTTATACATGCTGAGGGTTGTGAGACACCACCAATTTTTTGAATTTTAGTTAGTTCCACATTTAAATATTTGTTATATTTGTCTCTCTACATTGCATGGTTCCTTGACTTCAGGATGTGGCCTGTCCCATTGTTCTAATTTGATCTGTGGGCCATGCCATGTACACATGCTTTATAATTATGTGAACTGTCCACATACTGTAGGTGTGGGATATATTGATGAAAGTATGGTAATTTTTTTTACAGTTAGGAGAGCTCTTTCTTTTACCAAACATTTGACCAGAGAATGAGCACCAAACAAACCACTGAGTACCAGTGAATAGGTATTCAACATATTGCTAGGCACCAGGGAATAGGTACCAGACATACCACTGGGTACCAGGGAAGATGTATCAAGTATACCACTAGGTACCATTAATGGGTACCAAACATACCACTGGGCATAAAGGAATGGGTATTTAACATACCACTGGGCAACAAAGAACAGGTACCAACCATACCACTGGAAATCAAGAAAAGCAGAAATACACAACATACCACTGGGCATCAGGGACTGGGTACTTAAAGTGTATGTCAATCCAAAAACCTTTTGTTTTGTTTTAGATAGTGTGGAAAAATTAGAACCCCCTTCTGTTTTTTTTAACTGCTATCTGGAGCTCCATTTGAGAGATTTACCCTCACTTCTTAAATTGCTGACCAGAGGTTCTAACCTTCCCCTAATCTACTAATTAAAGCATTTTTATTTCTGGCTGTGTTGCTGTTGGTGACACTGGCGGAACTACCAGGGTCGCAGCGGTCGTAATTGCGACCGGGCCCTGGTGTTCCGCCACTTGGGGGGCAATGTGAGGAAGGAGAGGGCCCCCCGCCCCCGAGATCATGCCGCTCCTTCCCTGCCGCACAGCCACCTGCAGCATGTACGGGTGGCTGTGCCACGGGGATGGAGAGGCTGTCACCAGTCCTGCAGAATGTGCTGAAGGCACCACCGGACAGCACATTCTGCTGTGCAAGGACCCTCTCCTCTTAGCCCCGCCCCCTGGCCCGCCGAGACGAGGGCCCTGCAGGAGAGGAAAGGTAAGTCTGGAGTGAGAAGGGGCGTGGGTAGGTGTGGGGGGGATGCTGGTGATATTCTGTAGTGCTGACTTTTATTATAATGTATAGCTGGGACTTGTAGTCCCGCATAGCTGGTGGTATTCTGTATTGCTGTATAATCATTATACAGCAATGCAGAATAGCACCAACTATGTAGGACTACAAGTCCCCAGCAATGCATTATAGTGGGGGGGATGCTGGTGGTATTCTGCATAGCTGAGTTAGTATAATGTATTGCTGGGACTTGTAGTCCCGCATAGCTGGTGGTATTCTGCATTAGGTACCAGAGAATGGATAATAAAACAAACCACTGAGCATCAGGGAATGGATATAAAACCATACCCCTGGCATCAGGGAATGGGTACCAGACATACCACTGGCACTGTCATTGGCAATGTCTGCATACTACATTACCTTAATTGATTTTTTAGGTTTCAGGCGATAGTAAGGCTTAAATACGCACGTGACAAGCTGTGCTTTAACAGCCTGGCCACTGCTAGTACCCACAATGCACATATGTACATTAGCACAGAGTTGCATCCCTGCAGCTTTGTTATGTGCTGCATGTGCATTATGGCTTGGGTTCACAAAGAAGTGAAATGGGGCTGTTTTGTGGAAATATTGCACAGCTAGGTACACACGTCCCTGGGCCCTAAAGGTGCCCATACACCTTACGATTATCGTACGATAATCGCATGCAATCGACTTTTCTTACGACAGTCGCAAGATGTATGGGGAGTGTGCAACCGCCAGTACTGTACAATCGTACGATTTCTGTCTTTCCTGCATGTTCGAAAACTTCAGTCGATCGTACAATTTTTCGCAAGGTTGGTGGCGTTTCCGTACGTCAAAAGGCATACGATTAACACTGCTCATGCACAAACGAAAATACCTGCGGTCAATTACCGCAGTATGATACGGTTGATCATCGGACGAAAAGTTTCGTCCGATGATCGCAAGGTGTATGGGCACCTTTAGAGAGAACTATTTATTCAACTGTATGAAAGATAGGTTGGAATAAAGAAGAACTCCAGTCAAAAAGGAAAGCAGACTAGTGCTAAAAAAAGGAGAGCTGTTAAAGTCACTAGAAAAGACCAGCAGCACTAGAGCTAATTGAATCTGGTCTTTCTAAAACAATGGCAAAGTCACCAGAAATGTGCATAGAGTTCTATGTTATAACAAAAACCATGCAATTTATTAATCCTGATAGCTAAGATTCCAGAAATGATTAATTCCTCACACACGGGATAAAGTGTTTGATTTGCCAAAATTACCCGCAAAACAATGTATGTCTATTTTATACTTTTACCCGTTTTCCTGCAATGACAGAGAAACTAATATACAATCCATGGTCTGGCAACCTGAAATGTTAGCTGTGTCTACCACCTCTCTACTTCTCTACCAATATACTGAACAAAACCAATGAGTAGATTCCACGAGGGGCATAATTAGGAGAGGTGCAAATGTTTGGAATTGTTCTTTTCTAGGTACATACTAATTTGTGGTTCACCTTAGGTAGCAGAGACTAGATTCACCTCGTAATGCATTGAATTTGCTTTCAAGTAGAAATTATTTGTTTTAAGTTCTTTTCAATGGTATACAAATACAGGAACTTTAGACTCCTGGAAAAACTTCCTATGATTTTCATAGCTGTAATTTACATGATGCGTGTCTACTCATCATCACCTCACTGATAACCAGTGAGCGTTTAATGACGTGTCTCTGACTTATGTCATTGTCTGACACAAAGCTGGCTAATGGAAAGTCCCCAGTGTGCATAATTGACTAATATTCTAAGATAATTGGAGAAGGGATGATTTTCAAAATGTGGATTTGGAGTATTTAGAGTGCCAGTCTGTCCATGCAACAATATTGTATGAATGCTTATCTTAAGAACAGTTACCCAGAAAAACCAGATAGAATACACATTTCACTGATCTGTCTCTATTAAATTAAAAGTTGATTGTTTCTGTGGGCTATTGCATTGTGAACATCATCAATGCTCTTTACCCTACCATATTAAAGTAAAACTGTAACCAATGTATCCTTCGGAGCAAAAGCATCTCTACGTGTGAGCAAGTAACTTCAGTGTCTTTTCAGAGTACCTTCAAAAGCCATAAAATATCATAATTTGTTTATGCAACTATTGATGTCAGATGGAAGTCAGAACATCCTCCCATGCCATGGTATTGGTTACAAAGGATGCTTAACATAGCAATGGGACAAAAGTGAGGTGTAAGGGGAGAAAAAACTATAACTTCTTAGTTGAAGCCCATGCATGCATAATGAGGAGCCTCAAGTTTCTTGGCCCCCGGGGGGCCTGCTGAGAAGAAGCTGAAGTTACCCAACGGTACTAACTGTTGCAATAAAGTGCCACTTGTCTTACAATACATCAACGACAAGTACACTTTAAGCAAGCCACTAGTGATTCACCAGAAGAAATAGGTCAGATGCATTTGAAATCCCAAGGGATATAACAAGAAGGAAAGGAAACCAAATATAACCAAATATAACCAAACGATACCAAATATTTGGGCGAGTGCTTGGGCTTCCCGGGCCAATTAGCATGGAGCCGGCCATACAGCATGGAGCCAGCTTCCTGGGCAATCGAGAAGCCGGGCAGCGGGTAATGACACACCACCTGGCGGCCTGATTGGCCCGGGAAGTCGGCTCCATCCTAGCGGAAGTACTGGTATCGGTACTGTATTGGCGAGTACTGAAAGATAAATATCGGTACTCAAAAAACAGTATTGGTAGATCCCTAATTTTTGCAGAATGTATAGGCTAAATATTGTGACTATCCAACAAAATCTAGTGTCTCCAGGTGACAGGTACACTTAAATTGGCTTATTTAGTAAAGCTGTGCAAATGATGATGTGCGTATACAGTATATCTAACATTCACTAGATTACATCCAAGTTACCCATTACTGAGATACTGCACACCATCACTGCAGTGTTAATTTCATTGACTAATAATTTTTGTCATAGTTTTCGTCAACAACACTATTTCAGTGACTAAAACTAAATAAGAAGTTATGATGACTACAACTATAATGAAAATATATTGACATTCTAGGTGACTAACATGTTAGGGTTCCGGTTCCATCCTGAATGGACGGCTAACAGGTAATATGTGCAATGGCATTACAGCCAATATAGTTTTTCATTTGAATATTTTAGAGTTGTACTTCTGCTTGAATGAATGAAGAATGTCATCTGCAAGTTGTTATAATCAATGCATGTATAATTGCTTGTCCTTTGTTGAAAATATTCAGTATTATTGTTTCTTTATAAGACTTGGTTTAATCTAATTTTAAGATAAACAAAGACATGTTATATATCACAGTTAAATATGGGTCTGTATTGCTCAAAACTGAATACCATAAGTAATAACAGGTTAACAGATGTTTACTCCAAGACTATGTCATGAGATTAGAAATTCTAGAGAAATTCTTAAAGTGACATTAAACCCTCAGATTTTTTAACATAAACCAATACTGTAATGTGTGCCTTACTGTAATCCATGGTAGTTTCACTTCTTTGCTGCTCTTCCTTTTAAATCCTCATATCTTCTCATGCTTGGGAAGAACTTCCCTTTGCAGCTGACTGCCTCTTCCTGTAGTGCTGGCTCAGGTTGTGAACCTACACGCAGACACCATGTATCCATTTCAGAGACAAGGCAGTCTGCTGCAAAACAGAAGTTCTGCCCAGCATGAGAACAGATACAGATTTAAAAGGAAGAGCAGCAAAGAGAAGGGAAACAACCATGGATTACAGTAAGGCACACATTACAGTATTGTTTTATGTTAAAGGTCACTTTAAATTACTCTTTGACTAAACCCACTAGATTTTAGTCGCCTAAATCTTCTGTAGATTTAGTCGACTAAAACAAATCAGATGACTAAAATATGACTAAAGCTAAATGGCATTTTAGTGAAAAGACTATGACTAAAACTAAATTGAAATGTGCTGTCAAAATTAACACTGAATCACTGTCCTCCTATGCACTGTTTTACTAAATCAGCATGCAAGAGAAACTACAGCTTTCAGTAAGTAAGCAGACTTTTAAAAAATGTACCAATGCTTACCTGGTAATTAATTTGACAGGCATGCTTGAAAGAAGAATAAAGCACTATATATTAATACGTGTTCTTTCAATAGTAAATGCCAATTCAGTGTTAGTTCACGACACAAACATGACTTTCAGGTTTCCACAATGCAATTATAAAGCAGGCATCCAGTTCCTGCGCATGAAAAGTTTAGTACATTGTAATTCCTTGTGTAAGCATTAGTGAGGTTAACAACCAATATGTTAACTGCTCCGTCATCTCTATGGTTGTTGGTTCATTTTTCCACATGAACATTGTACTAAGGGTACTGGCTAAACATGCACTGTAGAAAGAAATATGTTCTGCTAGTGTGTAAATAGCTAGACACACCATAGTGAAAAACAAGTAAATGCTTAATAATCCCTCTAATCCATCTTTTCATAGCAAACCAATACTCATCAAACACAATATATGGTAATTAGTATGCTAAGGAACTGATAACTTTAATAGGCCAAGTTCCTACAGCTACTGCAACTGGTGTTCCATCATTGCAATATCTTATTTATTTAACAAGAACAAAGTCAATATACCACCACAACTAATAGTAATAATAATAATAACAGTGCCTAAAAAAAGTTACAGTGCCCAGACTATCAAAATAGCATCGTATGTATTTCCTGCTAAAATACAAGTGTACGTTATGAAAATCTGTTTAATTCTGGTAGCACAAAATATACCGATAGAATAGAAGACCACAAGAATAACGAACTACAGCTTTGTCTATAAAAGACTGCATTTACCTATTTACTGGTGTGGTCTTTATAGCCCACAAAAATCACATTTTTCTCAACAAATCCCTGTACTGCAGATATGCAATTCTAATCGCATCCTATAGTCATTTGTACTACACACAACTAAGGTTAAAGCTTTTAATGATTTGCTCCTCCAAACAGCTATATTACAATAATCAGATACTAGCATACACAGTGCAGTTGACTGCGCAGTACATAAGAGTATGCAATGCCCAATCAATGTGCCAGTTTTAATTAGGGGGCTGAGATCCAAATAGCACGCACCGCTGCTGTATGGAGCAGAATGACAGCTGCTGCATTCATAAAACTATGCCATTTTTATGATTATTTCGGAAAGATTCAAATGGTACAATGACGTTCCGTCTTCTAGTCTGAAAAAGCAGTATATATTCAGACAGGAATAAAAAACACTTGTACTAACTGATGCTGGCAACTTGCATAATGGGGAATGATTTGTGCCAATGGTCTGGGCAAAATCTGCATTATGCTTTCTAAAAGATGTATTGTATATGCTGAATTCTACTGGGTGAAGATGAAGTAGTGTTAAATGTTGCTAGGGAGACCCAGGAAGAATACGGTGAACAATTGTCTGTAAAAATATTACTGCATTAGCTAAAGCAGCTCAGCTATTCTATTCCATCTTCTATTCTATCCTGATGAACAGAAGACTATTGCTTATTAATCATGCTCATGGATATATCCGATTAGAACTTGAAAAGCTTATATACAAATATACAAAATTTCAGTACAGCAAATCTTAGACAATTACTTGCCTGATGCCATTGTTTCCACGTCGGGACATCGTTCTTGCCGGTGTGTGCTGCAGCTTTGCCAAAGTGACCAGGTGGCCAGGAATCCGGAGTCTGTGCTATCTATGGAGCCTCTACCTGCAGTGGACACTGAAGATGGTGGAATATATTAGAAGGAATGCTTCAAACAGATGGCACTACATAGTAACAATGATGCAATGTATTAAAGTCAGTCTAACCATACCTTCCAGCTGACAGAGAAATGCCTCGGCTAGACATAGTCAAATGTGTGCGAGAGGGGTTAAGGTTTGCTGCAAAATGCAAAGTCTCAAGCATTGTGGCATTTCTTATCAGCTTTCACTTCTATATCTGTCCCAATTCTCATCTATTTAAGGCTGGTATTTCAAGTACATGGGGTGGTGGTGGTGGGGGGAACTGCCAGTATCCATGGAGATATCTGTGTTGAAAAAAGGTGAACCTTGTTTACTGTATGAACACGTCAGTAGGAGGAAAAAATAGTAGTAGCTGTAAAAAAATCTAGAATTACACAAGAGATAAATAAGAATATTGCGGGAAGGAACAGTCTTGCCAATGAGGAAGGTATGTAAGAAAAAAAAATCCTGACCAGCCCACGAGAAAATGAAAGTGCACGTGGAACGTATGCAGTCCAGAATCTCTGAAGAGCTTCTTCAGAGTGACAAATACTACACAGACTGTGGGAGGGAAATTAGCTAATGCCTTTATTTAAGCAGGGGAACAATTGCACAGGAAACTGTCAGCTCCGAACAAAACACTCTAGAGATTCAAGACTTTATTCTACAATTGTCTTTGCTGTTCCTGAGGAAGATAAAGGAAAAAAATAATAATCAGAATGGACTGTATAAAGAGCACATGATATCCTCTAAGCCTGCTATTCATACATTTTAACACATAGTTGACTCGACAATGGTGTTATACACTGAGTGGCCAGTTTATTATGACCACCTGACGTTTGTAGGCAAATTAGCTATAATTAGCTATAATTTCGCGCTGAAGTTGCTAGAGTGCCAGACCATTATAAATAGGGAAGCAGGTTGTTTACCACGACAGTAGAAGCACTTTTTTTCTGAAGATATGGGTAAACAATGCGATTTAACAGCCTTTGAACGTGGGGTGATTGTTGGCGCGAGCCATGGAGCGAGTATCAGCAAAACAGCAGAATTTGTTAAATGTTCAAGAGGGGCTCATTGTTAAAGTGTTCAAAGACTGGACTGTCAGCCGAAAATCTGGGTCTGAACGTGCGAATTGTGGCCGTCAGCGACTAGTCAATGTTAGGGCAGAACGGAGAGTGGCAAGACTGGTACAAGACAACAGAAGGGCAACAGTGCAGTGTCGAAGTCCAACGAAGTCATCTCGTGGAGTCATCTCGTGGCCCAACGAAGTACTGATGGGGTGGTCATAATAATCTGGCCACTCAGTGTATACCCAGACAAGCTGGAATGTTGTGGTATCAGGGCACTGATGTACATCTTAAAGATCAATTTCAAGCAACAAATTAAACCAAGCTATTAATGCTGTTCAACATTGTAGCTGGTCTAAAGCCAGAGAGTTAATTCTATTTATTTTAAGGCCATATTCACATGGGGCGCTTTGCCCAATACAGAGTGCAGGGTCATGTTTTCACGCACCTGGAGCTGTGGGAAGAAGTGTTTGGGCAGTTCATGTATGTCTATAGAGAAGCAGGAGCTGTGCGTCCTCGAGCTGCTTCCCGCAGCTTCAGGTTTTAACAGCCACACACAGACGACATACACACTTGAATCCTTTATGTCTGCGTCCGAGGCAGTGTGTGGCTATAAAAACTGAAGCTGCGGGGAAGTTGATTGGTTGCGGTCGGCTAGACCATTTTTTTTCTTGCACATATGGTAAATTAGGAATAGTCACCAGCCATAAGGAGCATACACTTTAAAGGTCCCTATCACACATACTAGGGCCAATGCAAACAGGAGTCAATTAATCTATTAGCATGTCTGGATGGGGGAATCCACATAGGCACAGGGAGAATGTGCAAACTCCCATGCAGATTGTGTGCTGACCAGGATTCAAGTGGTGTATCCAGAGTATGGCACATTCCCTGGACACCAATGGAAAGGGGGGCACTTCCTGGGTCGGCAAACTTTAAACTTTCACAGACCTATGGAGACAGCTGACTTTTTTTTTTCTCTCCCCACCCATCTCCCATACACACATCACCCTATCAAAGACGCTCTGGCCAGTGTTCCGCACAGCTCCTGTCAACCAGTGATGGCACTGGTTGCCAGGAGCTGGGCAGGATGCAAGCCAGAGCTTGCATCCTGCCCTGGACATACAAGAGATAATCAAGAGATAAGGGACATACAAATCTCCCTGCCAGGCTCTTAGCAACCAGAGCAGGCATGGAGATGTGTATGCAGACTGGACACCGGCCAGAGCATCCCCGGCATGCCCTGCCCTGCTCCTGGCAACCAGTGATGTCACAAAAAGATGGGGCTGAGCGGGACACCAAAGGCGCACTATGTAGTAGATACACTTCTAGATTCAAGGCAGAATTGCTAACCACAAAGCCACTGTGCTGCCCATTCTAGGGAATGCAGTTGTTTTGTCCTCACTCCATGTGACAAATATGCACTGATATTTGTAATTGTCACATTTTCTGTGTGATCTGCTATTGTTTTAGTCAGTATTAATATTGTTTTGCCTAAGGTGGACAAGACACTTTTGTATGAGTCAATGAACATTCAATAATTTGCTATCAATGGACACTACCAACTTTCATGTTATAAGAGTTTTTATTTTAGAGTGATTAGATTTTGTTGCAAAACATTTGCACTTTGAACTGTAGAACTTATCTTTTAGATTGTTATTGCCTAGTAAGAGAGAAGGATCATGTTTTTTTTTTGTGTGACGTCAGGCAGTACAAAGAGAAATGGTGCAGGTTATCTAAACCCAACATCCAAAAATGAATATGTACTTGCTTGTATTGGATTAAACTGAGGGCCTTTTTATCGCAATTGTTTCCTTCATTGTCTGCAATTTTGCCTGGCGAACCTGTCAGAGTAGCCTTCTCAAAGAATTCCTGTCATATGGTGACAACCATACCTCCCATCTTTCTAGATGTGAAGGAGTAACACCTTGCCAATTGACACACCCCTGCCATGCCTTTTAAGAATTTATATGACAAAAATGATTGGTTAAGCCCAGAATAGTTTTTTCACTATTGTTGTTCTTTTATACTTGAGTTTCGAACTAGCAAACAAGATAATCAAGAGATAAGATGAAGGTTTTAGTGCAGAATAAACACTTATGGTAGTTAAATAGAACCTTTTTATAAATATCTGTACATCAGACAAGAGGAACAACTGAAGAGGAAAGAGGGATTTGGTTCCAAATGAGGAACAGTTGTGAGGCATTTGCTTGAAAATAATAGCTTGCTTGAAAATAACATTATAAGCGATAGTCAGCACGGATTCACAAAAGACCGAAGTTG